AAAATGTACTCGAGCTACTAAAACATTATCGCCCGCCTCCACTGAAGCAGCCTCCTGAAACCCGGTTCAGTCCGGCCGCCACAGCTAATTCACCGTAGTTTGTATAAAACTTGTTTTCAGACACCGAGCTGAGACCTGGTGTGGTAGTAGCTGAGGGTTGTCACCACAACAGACTCTGACTGAAGACGTCACTTTGAACCTTTGCTCCAGTCTGCAGCTGGGGAGGTGCCTGAGGACCAGGAGGTCACCTGGCGTCCTCCGTTTGGACGCAAACGTCTCTGAGACTCATCCGACCGACCGATGGGTCGACCAGCAGGTGGGGGGACACGACACAGTGTGATCTGAGCAAACCAGGACCAAACAGGACACAGCAGAGGTCAAAGGTCACTGAGACTGGTTGTAGACGAGGCCTGGTCCAGAATGTCTCAGTGACTTTAACGACTGTTGTTGTTTTTTAAATCAGAAAACAACGAACAGTTCACAGAAAATAAGTTTCTGTTGTAGAAATCATGTTTGACCGTGATGTGACCTCTTCCTTAACAAACGCAAGAATATGTCATTTTTATCTGTTTTATTTTATTATTTATTAATGTTTATTATTATTTTTATTTACATTTTATTAATTTTATTATTTTATTATTTATTTATTAAAATTTATTATTATTATTTATTATTTTATTATTTATTAATATTTATTATTATTTATTTACATTATATTAATTTTTATTATTATTATTTTATAATTTTTTATTATAATATTATTTATTAATATTTATTATTATTATTTATTTACATTTTATTAATTTCATTATTTATTATTTTATTATTTATTATTATTTTATTTATTATTATAATATTATTTATTAATATTTATTATTATTATTATTATTTATTTACATTTTATATTATTTATTATTTATTATTTTATTTTATTTAGTTTGTTGTTGTTTTTTGATGCTACACAAAATCAGAACCGAATGGTAATGTGTCGCAGTGTTTTTGTTTTATTATGTTTAGTGTTTTGTAACGACGGTCGCTTCTTGTTTTTGTCTCGTTGTTGTAATAAAGGTTTGTGACGTGAGAACATCGTGATCTCTACTGATGTCGGTTCTGGAGACTCCTCTAGAACCTTTGGAGATGATTGTACAAAGAAGGATTCTTCATCAAATGAAGAACATTATAGACAACCCTCAGCATCCTCTTCATCAGACTGTCCCACAACAACAGTCTTCAGTCAGAGGCTTCTTCAGATCTGCTGCAGGACAGATGCTACAAGAGATCCTTCCTGCCCACAGCATCAGCATCTAGAAGAACTCTTAATGAAACCAGGATGATGAGTTACCACAACATTTAATTTATCTCTAGGATTAATAAAGTATTTATGAACTGAATTTAATTGAATTTACAATTGTAAACATCACCGTTTTACATTTACCGGTAAGTATTTAGGTACCTGCTCAAAGACGAGTCTGCTCATGGGTGACAAAATCCATCCAGTTTTTATGGATAATAGTTTTTATGAATATAGTTTTTATGGATAATAGTTTTTATGAATAATAAAGCTTGTTTTTGTGTATTTAAAATGTACATTGACTTTTGTCTGAGCTCTGATCAAGCTGTAGCTGAGTGTTGTCATAATTTGTGCACATCTTAAAGGTCATTGCTTTAATTAGATACTGTTTTAGGTGGTAATATTCTATAATATTTTACTCTATTATTTATTATTTACTCTTTACTTATTATACAGGTCTCTTGTGTAAATGAGTCCTCCCGACTCAAAGAGACTAAATTGTATAAATAAAGGTTGAATTAATTGTATTATATATTAATAATATATTGAATATGCTGAATATGGGAGAGGTTGCAGCACGGTGGCTCAGTTGGCAGAGCTGTTGCCTCTCAGTGAGAAGGCTGTTGGTTCAAATCCCGGTCCGAGATGCTTCTGGGTGGAGTTTGCATGTTCTCTCCGTGCTGCGTGGGTTTTCTCCAGGTACTCTGGTTTCCTCCCACAGACCAAAAACACGCATGTTAGGCTGACTGGTGTCTCTTCCCTATGATGGACTGGACACCTGTCCAGGGTGTCCTCTCGCACAGTGACTGTTGGACATGGGCACCAGTGACCCCCGTGACCCGAAAAGGCGGAAGCGAGTAAATATAATGGATGGATGGATGGATGGATGGATGGATGGACGGATGGATGGATGGACGGATGGATGGATGGACGGACGGATGAATGGATGGATGAAAATTACAGGTTAGGGATTGTTGTGCTGTTGCAGCGCTGAGTGAGATGTTGCGTGTCTCGGCTGCGTGATGACGTTTCGCGCAGGAATGCGTCTGATTTGCAGGCTGCTGGCCGTGACGTCATGCCTCCTCCCATCTCATATAAAAGCTCCTGGTCGTCCGCAGTCTTCCTCTTTCTGTTACCTGGGCAGGGCAGCAGCTTTGGCCGTGAAAACCCTGAAACACCGGTGAGCTGGGCTGGGTTCGTGGATTCCAGGCGCGACATGGCCCTTTCGTGACGTTTGAATTTACCTTTAAAACGTTTTACAGTTCGAGTCCGTCTGTTCGGGCGTTAACGCATTTAAAGCTTTGATTTGTTATGTAACTTGAAGCTAACCTGTGGGATTTTTAAACTACTAAATAATTCAGGAGAAGCTAATGTACGGAATAAGTTGTGTCTTGAGTGCTTTTATTTAAATTAAATGAACGGAGGAAGGAGACGGGAGGAGAAGCTGCGTGTTAAAAGGAACAAAGGAGGCTGGAAAAAGGCTCCATCCGAGGGATGCTCCGCTGGCATTTCTCCCCTCTCCTCCCTGAAACAACTGGACGTGTTTCCCAGCGACAGGTGTTCGGGTCCGGACGGGATGGACTCTGGATATTTCGGTCTTTGTAACTTTATCCGACGTGGCTGAGACGGGAACACGTGTCTCGTCTGGCCTGTGGCCGACTGAGGCCTGCTAGCCGCCGCCTGCTAGCGGCTAACCTCTGAGGAAACGTCGGCCAATAACGATGATTTGACAAATTTTTAAAGATTGATTCTTAGAGTTTATTTAAATAAATGTCTCGTTTATGTTCTTTAGCAACTTCCCTGGGCGGTGGGGTGCTTAAAAGCGGGTCGAAATGTCTCGTTAGCATTGTGTGTTAGCCCTGAAGGTTGCAGTTGGTCCAGTGCTTAAAGACAATTTGTTTCTTCACAGAAACTAACAAAATGGGAAAGGAAAAGACCCACATCAACATCGTGGTCATTGGCCATGTCGACTCCGGGAAGTCCACCTCCACCGGCCACCTGATCTACAAGTGCGGAGGCATCGACAAGAGAACCATCGAGAAGTTCGAGAAGGAGGCGGCCGAGGTTGGTGACTCGACTCGTTTCGCCTTTTTTCTGTTTTTTTTTTTTACGGTTAGTCATCTCCAAGATGGCGGCGTCAGCGTGCCCAACTGGCCGGCACGAGGGAGTCTCTAAAGCCGTGAGCGCGCATGCGGGGCGGGGCTTCCAGTCGGGAACGGCTGATGGTGACTGTGCACTCTGAAGGCCGCGGCCTGTCGGAGGAAAAGCTGACGTCACGCAGTTTTACCTTAATATGTTTAAATATACCCCCTTTAAATGTTTAATAAAGAAATGTTCCTCTAGTTTACATGAAGTGTTAACGTTTTTTCTGAATGGTAATTTACACTTTATTCCTCACATTTTCAGTAGTTTAATTGTAAAGCTGTTTATACAACTCTTACATGTTTCTGTATGATCTGATTCACATTTCGTAATCTAAGAACTTTGCTGTCTTCACAGATGGGCAAAGGCTCCTTCAAGTACGCC